TATGCCGATGACACACAACTCTACTTCTTTGCTCCAGATACCACAGACCCAACATACCGCATCGACAGTTGCTTAGCAGACCTCATAGAATTGATAAATGCTAGTTGGCTAAAAGTAAACCCAGACAAAACAGAGTTACTCTTGGTGAGGGGACCCCAGGCAACAAAAATATCCCATGATCACCCAACTAGTCTGGGGCTTGGAGGCTCTGAACTCACTAGTTCATAAGAGGTACAAAACGTCAGAGTGCTAATTGACTCTGAACTATCATATAAACGGCAGATTTCCTCCGTAATAAAATCTGCCTAATTTCATCTGAAAAGCATAGCCAGGATACAACACTTAATTGCACCGGATGATATGCCAACATTAATCCATGCATTTGTATCCTCTCGGCTTGATTACTGCAATGTACTTTACTTGGGCCTCCTAGAAAAAGAACTCCATTGCCTTCAGAAAGTACAAAATGCATCAGCCAGACTACTGGCCAATCAAACTCGCTCCTGCCATATAACACCTGTTTTCCACTCCCTGCATTGGCTGCCAATTAAATAGTGAACATATTTCAAAATTGGACTCCTGGTCTTCAAAGTCCTAAACAACCAAGCCCCACAGTACATGAAACAACTCCTCACACGCTATATTCCACCTCGTTCACTTCAGTCAGCCAGCAAAACCCTCCTGTCCATGTCAAGAATAAACACAGACTCAGGTTCCAGGGCATTCAGCCACGCTTCCCCTACCCTCTGGAACTCTTTACTGTGCTCAGAGAGACACCATCCTTACAGACTTTTTAAAAAAAGCTAAAGATCCACCTCCTCCGTCAGGCATTCGGTCCGCACAGCTGACCTTCAGAAACTCCTAACTTTTATGTCTTTATGTTTGTATATTTGTAAAGTGCTTTGAGTCTCACTGGGAGAAAAGCGCTATAAAAATTGCAAGTTATTATTATAATTATTATTTATTATAGAAGCAAAGGTGGAAGAAATCTGGTAAAATATCTTCTAAATTTCAGTCCATACCTTAAAGCTGCTGTGTTCAATTCAAGTTGCTTTGCTGAAGAGATGTACGTTGAATTGGACCTAAGGAAGAGAGATACGGTTATTTAAAGGAATTTACAGCTAGGAGTGACAAGCCATTTTTGGTATACAATCTAAATATTGACAACCAAATTCTATCAGCCAGGTTATTACTGAAGTGCACTGTGTTAAGGGGAGGTCTTCATTATTTGGCATGTATGCCCCCGTGTTTACCTAAATGCTGCCTGAGAGTAGTGGAAGTTACAGTCCCTGGCAGCAGCTATTTTAGCTGTCTTTACAAAGAGTAACTCCTACTAGTCTGACACAGACCAGGAGATGAACGCTCAATTTCTCCCTGAGATTGAAGCGCTCAAACTGCACAGAGGGGAGTCACGCTATTTCTCATTCATTACTGGGAATTATTGCACAGATGATGTCACCACCTGTACAGTACGGTATTCTAAAACATGGTTTATATATAGATAAATGTATTACTATGTTAAGGTTTATTTAATAAGTTTAAAACTCTCCCTTTACTATGTTAAGGAGTCATTTCTAATGTCAAAACTGTAGGATTACCAAGACTATCTATAGAATATAGTCTAAAATCAATAGATTTAATTTAAACCTGCAGGGCCACTCTTACCTCTTGCTGGGTTCTGGGGCGAGACGTTTGTGGTTTTCCACCTTCCTTATAAAACCATCAGCCAGGGCTTGACACTGAGCATCCCCTGCAATTTCTGTCCCTTATTGAGTGCACTGTGAGTGTGTTTAATTGTGTGTGAGTGTGTAATATATCATTTGAGCATAATATACTCCAGACTCGCCACCAGGGTGAGTGTCAGAAGATCTAAAGAGACATGAAGCAACTTTACCTCTAGACCAGAGGTTCCTAACCAGGGCCGGAATGGGATACAAAGCAGCCCAGCTGTGCTGGCGGCCGCAGGGGGAGCTGTCTGTGCTGGCGGCCGCAGGGGGAGCTGTCTGTGCTGGCGGCCACAGGGGGAGCTGTCTGTGCTGGCGGCCACAGGGGGAGCTGTCTGTGCTGGCGGTCGCAGGGGGAGCTGTGTG